CACCATCTATTGGGTCTCTCTGATCTATCTTGCACCATCTATTGGGTCTCTCTGATCTATCTTGCACCATCTACTGGGTCTCTCTGATCTATCTTGCACCATCTATTGGGTCTCTCTGATCTATCTTGCACCATCTACTGGGTCTCTCTGATCTATCTTGCACCATCTATTGGGTCTCTCTGATCTATCTTGCACCATCTATTGGGTCTCTCTGATCTATCTTGCACCATCTACTGGGTCTCTCTGATCTATCTTGCACCATCTATTGGGTCTCTCTGATCTATCTTGCACCATCTACTGGGTCTCTCTGATCTATCTTCCACCATCTACTGGGTCTCTTATCAATCTTATACTATCTAGTATCTCTGAACTATTTACATTATCTCTTGTCTTTGATTTAGTTTGCATTATCTACAGTATCTTGAGTTATCTTGCACTATCTACTGTCCCTGATTTTACTTAACTATCTACCGTATCTCTGATCAGTCTTGCACAATCTACTGTCTATCTTGTCTTATCTACTATGTCTGATCTATCTTGCACAATCTAGTATCTCTGATCTACGTTGCAGAATCTAATCTCTGATTTATCTTGTACTTTCTACTGTCTCAATAGTTTAGGTGTTCTAGCGTGTCTATGCGTGTTGTATATGTTCTCTGTATTACCTCTATCTCCGCCATTTCTCCAGCTCTGAAGGAGGGAAGGTTGTGTGGAGCAGTACTCATGACCGAGCAGCACCAGTGATGAGAGGAGTATGAACATTGCTGTGGGATCCCGAGATGTGAAGGTTCACATAATACATCCAATTATTTGTTCTAGCTGGAGCTACATTTACCAGGTTATGTTTACTGAACGTCAGGTTGTCAGATATTATTATCCCCAGATCCTGTACCTGCTGCCTTCCTTGTATGAGGAGCTCTGATTGTGTTTTTGTACCTAGTATGAGGAGCTCTGATTGTGTCTTGTACCTTGTATGAGGGGCTCTGATTATGTCTTGTACCTTGTATGAGGGGCTCTGATTGTGTCTTGTACCTTGTATGAGGAGCTCTGATTGTGTCTTGTACCTTGTATGAGGAGCTCTGATTGTGTCTTGTACCTTGTATGAGGGGCTCTGATTGTGTCTTGTACCTTGTATGAGGGGCTCTGATTGTGTCTTGTACCTTGTATAAGGGGCTCTGATTGTGTCTTGTACCTTGTATGAGGGGCTCTGATTGTGTCTTGTACCTTGTATGAGGGGCTCTGATTGTGTCTTGTACCTTGTATGAGGGGCTCTGATTGTTTTTTTGTACCTTGTACGAGGAGCTCTGATTGTGTCTTGTACCTTGTATGAGGGGCTCTGATTGTGTCTTGTACCTTGTACGAGCTCTGATTGTGTCTTGTACCTTGTATGAGGAGCTCTGATTGTGTTTTTGTACCTTGTACGAGGAGCTCTGATTGTGTCTTGTACCTTGTATGAGGGGCTCTGATTGTGTCTTGTACCTTGTATGAGGGGCTCTGATTGTGTCTTGTACCTTGTATGAGGAGTTCTGATTGTGTCTTGTACCTTGTATGAGGAGCTCTGATTGTGTCTTGTACCTTGTATGAGGAGCTCTGATTGTGTCTTGTACCTTGTATGAGGAGTTCTGATTGTGTCTTGTACCTTGTATGAGGAGTTCTGATTGTGTCTTGTACCTTGTATGAGGAGCTCTGATTGTGTCTTGTACCTTGTATGAGGAGCTCTGATTGTGTCTTGTACCTTGTATGAGGAGTTCTGATTGTGTCTTGTACCTTGTATGAGGAGTTCTGATTGTCTTGTACCTTGTGTTTCGTTTAAGTTCTTCCTTTTTGTCATACCCAAATGCAGTACCTGGAATTTATCACTGTCAAGCATCATGTTATTTTCTGTTGCCCAGTTAAAGACTGTCCCTATCGCTCTATCCCCTCTTCCCTTCAACCTTCCGCTCTGCCCATCACATTCCCCTCACTCCGACTCGAGTCCCCTCGAGCGACTCTGTCAGGTCTATCAGCCTTCGTCATGTCCAGATCCAAGAGATTCCTCCTAACCTCATCTCTGGTAATGTTAAACTTTTCCAAAACTGCCTTGTTTATTGCCAACTCTCTTAGTTCCAGGACTTCACCTTGCTCTATTGAGAATATTTCCTGGAATGTCTTGTCCAGTTCTTCTCACCTCATTGTCATTCTCTGTGTATCTGTCCTCCTCCTTTCTCAGTTTCGTCACCTGTTCTTTCATTATTATTTTCCTCCTGATGTGGCAGTGGAGGAATTATGGTTAAGTCTAGGCTTTATTTGCTATGTCATTTTCATATTGTGTCTCTGCTTCTCTTCTCACACCAACCTGTCCTCCTATAGAGAACGTCGCTTTTCGCTCGTATGCGTTACATAATGCTAAAAATTGTACTAGAAAATGGAAGTGAAAGTGTGGTACGGTTCCGTTTTCTGCTTTGGGTCCTCTGGTAGGTTAGGAGAGACTACTTTAAATTGACCGTTTTCTTGACGTTGGGAAACCATAGGAGGACGGACAGGTCACAGTGAGGAGTCCTGCCCCTCTCCTGGCGCCCACTCCTGGCGCCCGCTCCTGGCGCCCTCTCCTGGCGCCCGCTCCTGGCGCCCTCTCCTGGCGCCCTCTCCTGGCGCCCTCTCCTGGCGCCCGCTCCTGGCGCCCTCTCCTGGCGCCCTCTCCTGGCGCCCGCTCCTGGCGCCCGCTCCTGGCGCCCGCTCCTGGCGCCCACTCCTGGCGCCCGCTCCTGGCGCCCTCTCCTGGCGCCCTCTCCTGGCGCCCGCTCCTGGCGCCCTCTCCTGGCGCCCGCTCCTGGCGCCCTCTCCTGGCGCCCGCTCCTGGCGCCCGCTCCTGGCGCCCACTCCTGGCGCCCTCTCCTGGCGCCCGCTCCTGGCGCCCTCTCCTGGCGCCCTCTCCTGGCGCCCGCTCCTGGCGCCCTCTCCTGGCGCCCACTCCTGGCGCCCTCTCCTGGCGCCCTCTCCTGGCGCCCACTCCTGGCGCCCTCTCCTGGCGCCCGCTCCTGGCGCCCGCTCCTGGCGCCCACTCCTGGCGCCCTCTCCTGGCGCCCGCTCCTGGCGCCCGCTCCTGGCGCCCTCTCCTGGCGCCCACTCCTGGCGCCCTCTCCTGGCGCCCTCTCCTGGCGCCCTCTCCTGGCGCCCACTCCTGGCGCCCTCTCCTGGCGCCCTCTCCTGGCGCCCACTCCTGGCGCCCTCTCCTGGCGCCCTCTCCTGGCGCCCACTCCTGGCGCCCTCTCCTGGCGCCCTCTCCTGGCGCCCTCTCCTGGCGCCCACTCCTGGCGCCCTCTCCTGGCGCCCTCTCCTGGCGCCCACTCCTGGCGCCCTCTCCTGGCGCCCTCTCCTGGCGCCCTCTCCTGGCGCCCGCTCCTGGCGCCCTCTCCTGGCGCCCTCTCCTGGCGCCCGCTCCTGGCGCCCGCTCCTGGCGCCCTCTCCTGGCGCCCACTCCTGGCGCCCTCTCCTGGCGCCCTCTCCTGGCGCCCTCTCCTGGCGCCCTCTCCTGGCGCCCGCTCCTGGCGCCCTCTCCTGGCGCCCTCTCCTGGCGCCCTCTCCTGGCGCCCTCTCCTGGCGCCCGCTCCTGGCGCCCTCTCCTGGCGCCCACTCCTGGCGCCCTCTCCTGGCGCCCTCTCCTGGCGCCCTCTCCTGGCGCCCTCTCCTGGCGCCCTCTCCTGGCGCCCTCTCCTGGCGCCCTCTCCTGGCGCCCACTCCTGGCGCCCTCTCCTGGCGCCCTCTCCTGGCGCCCTCTCCTGGCGCCCTCTCCTGGCGCCCACTCCTGGCGCCCTCTCCTGGCGCCCACTCCTGGCGCCCTCTCCTGGCGCCCTCTCCTGGCGCCCGCTCCTGGCGCCCTCTCCTGGCGCCCACTCCTGGCGCCCTCTCCTGGCGCCCTCTCCTGGCGCCCACTCCTGGCGCCCTCTCCTGGCGCCCACTCCTGGCGCCCTCTCCTGGCGCCCTCTCCTGGCGCCCACTCCTGGCGCCCTCTCCTGGCGCCCACTCCTGGCGCCCTCTCCTGGCGCCCTCTCCTGGCGCCCACTCCTGGCGCCCTCTCCTGGCGCCCTCTCCTGGCGCCCACTCCTGGCGCCCTCTCCTGGCGCCCACTCCTGGCGCCCTCTCCTGGCGCCCACTCCTGGCGCCCACTCCTGGCGCCCTCTCCTGGCGCCCACTCCTGGCGCCCTCTCCTGGCGCCCGCTCCTGGCGCCCGCTCCTGGCGCCCTCTCCTGGCGCCCTCTCCTGGCGCCCGCTCCTGGCGCCCGCTCCTGGCGCCCACTCCTGGCGCCCTCTCCTGGCGCCCGCTCCTGGCGCCCTCTCCTGGCGCCCGCTCCTGGCGCCCGCTCCTGGCGCCCGCTCCTGGCGCCCACTCCTGGCGCCCTCTCCTGGCGCCCGCTCCTGGCGCCCTCTCCTGGCGCCCTCTCCTGGCGCCCTCTCCTGGCGCCCTCTCCTGGCCCCCGCTCCTGGCGCCCTCTCCTGGCCCCCGCTCCTGGCGCCCTCTCCTGGCGCCCGCTCCTGGCGCCCTCTCCTGGCGCCCTCTCCTGGCGCCCTCTCCTGGCGCCCTCTCCTGGCGCCCTCTCCTGGCGCCCTCTCCTGGCGCCCTCTCCTGGCGCCCTCTCCTGGCGCCCGCTCCTGGCGCCCGCTCCTGGCGCCCGCTCCTGGCGCCCTCTCCTGGCCCCCGCTCCTGGCGCCCTCTCCTGACGCCCTCTCCTGGCGCCCTCTCCTGGCGCCCTCTCCTGGCGCCCTCTCCTGGCGCCCTCTCCTGGCGCCCGCTCCTGGCGCCCGCTCCTGGCGCCCGCTCCTCTCTGGCCGCCTGTTATTAATGTTCTTGCTTCATGCATTTGTATTTAATTGCCTTGTTTCCTTAAATGCCCGATAATGCCAGGGATTCCTTTTCTAATTTAATTTCTTTTCCTTGTGGGTCGGGATATATTTCTTCTGCCTACCTTGACCTTGAGGTTACCTTGAGGTGATTCCGGGGCTCAGCGACCCCACGGCCCTGTCTAGTCTGCCTCCTGACACTTCTGGGTAAAGTAATCCATCATGTCTCGTGCAGACTTTTCTTTGACTTGTTTCTTACGGTTTTCCTATCAGCAATGTTATCATGTCATCAGATCATCTCAAGAAGCTCACAGTTTACACTCTGGCAGGCCTGCCCTACAGCCTTCCACCACACAGTATACACTCTGGCAGGCCTGCCCTACAGCCTTCCACCACACACAGTATACACTCTGGCAGGCCTGCCCTACAGCCTTCCACCACACACAGTTTACACTCTGGCAGACCTGCCCTACAGCCTTCCACCACACACAGTTTACACTCTGGCAGACCTGCCCTACAGCCTTCCACCACACACAGTATACACTCTGGCAGGCCTGCCCTACAGCCTTCCATCACACACAGTATACACTCTGGCAGACCTGCCCTACAGCCTTCCACCACACACAGTTTACACTCTGGCAGACCTGCCCTACAGCCTTCCACCACACACAGTATACACTCTGGCAATCCTGCCCTACAGCCTTCCACCACACACAGTTTACACTCTGGCAGACCTGCCCTACAGCCTTCCACCACACACAGTATACACTCTGGCAGGCCTGCCCTACAGCCTTCCACCACACACAGTATACACTCTGGCAGACCTGCCCTACAGCCTTCCACCACACACAGTATACACTCTGGCAGACCTGCCCTACAGCCTTCCTCCACACACAGTATACACTCTGGCAGACCTGCCCTACAGCCTTCCACCACACACAGTATACACTCTGGCAGACCTGCCCTACAGCCTTCCTCCACACACAGTTTACACTCTGGCAGACCTGCCCTACAGCCTTCCTCCACACACAGTATACACTCTGGCAGACCTGCCCTACAGCCTTCCTCCACACACAGTTTACACTCTGGCAGACCTGCCCTACAGCCTTCCACCACACAGTATACACTCTGGCAGGCCTGCCCTACAGCCTTCCTCCACACACAGTATACACTCTGGCAGACCTGCCCTACAGCCTTCCACCACACAGTATACACTCTGGCAGGCCTGCCCTACAGCCTTCCACCACACAGTATACACTCTGGCAGGCCTGCCCTACAGCCTTCCTCCACACACAGTTTACACTCTGGCAGACCTGCCCTACAGCCTTCCTCCACACACAGTATACACTCTGGCAGACCTGCCCTACAGCCTTCCACCACACAGTATACACTCTGGCAGGCCTGCCCTACAGCCTTCCACCACACAGTATACACTCTGGCAGGCCTGCCCTACAGCCTTCCTCCACACACAGTTTACACTCTGGCAGACCTGCCCTACAGCCTTCCTCCACACACAGTATACACTCTGGCAGACCTTCCCTACAGCCTTCCACCACACAGTATACACTCTGGCAGGCCTGCCCTACAGCCTTCCTCCACACACAGTTTACACTCTGGCAGACCTGCCCTACAGCCTTCCACCACACAAATGTCAGTCTACTTTGGTTACTCATAATTTTTTCCGATTCGTGCTCTAGATCTTCCTGAGAGAGGCGGACCCAAGAGCATCATTCCAGCAGAGGAAGTGAAGGCTGAGAGTTATGTCACAGTGACGGTGTTCACAGTAGTGACTGTGACCAGCGCCGGAACAGTGCACCATACTGCACCATACCTCGGTCTCTGTGAGGTGATTGTAACGTGCAAATAGCAAGATACCCCGACCAGAATGAGAGGGACACGTAGTAGTCTCTGGTGATATCTCAGAGCGAGGCGGGATCCAGGAGCTAGAGGACGTGATGAACATTTCGACTGGACAGATTTCTACTGAAGTAATTGGATCAGCCAGGCTGTGCTAATGTATAGGTCTACGGGTCACGGAGACAGCTTAAGATATCTGACAACCACCAAGGGAAGCTGGCCACAGACCAGACAGTGACTAGATAAGGCTGGCCACAGACCAGACAGTGACTAGATAAGGCTGGCCACAAACCAGACAGTGACTAGATAAGGCTGGCCACAGACCAGACAGTGACTAGATAAGGCTGGCCACAGACCAGACAGTGACTAGATAAGGCTGGCCACAGACCAGACAGTGACTAGATAAGGCTGGCCACAGACCAGACAGTGACTAGATAAGGCTGGCCACAGACCAGACAGTGACTAGATAAGGCTGGCTACAGACCAGACAGTGACTAGATAAGGCTGGCCACAGACCAGACAATGACTAGATAAGGCTGGCTACAGACCAGACAGTGACTAGATAAGGCTGGCCACAGACCAGACAGTGACTAGATAAGGCTGGCCACAGACCAGACAGTGACTAGATAAGGCTGGCTACAGACCAGACAGTGACTAGATAAGGCTGGCTACAGACCAGACAGTGACTAGATAAGGCTGGCCACAGACCAGACAGTGACTAGATAAGGCTGGCCACAGACCAGACAGTGACTAGATAAGGCTGGCCACAGACCAGACAGTGACTAGATAAGGCTGGCCACAGACCAGACAGTGACTAGATAAGGCTGGCCACAGACCAGACAGTGACTAGATAAGGCTGGCCACAGACCAGACAGTGACTAGATAAGGCTGGCCACAGACCAGACAGTGACTAGATAAGGCTGGCCACAGACCAGACAGTGACTAGATAAGGCTGGCTACAGACCAGGCTACGGAAGTAAAGAACAACCCTCGAAATCCTCAACAGGTAACACCAGGTTACACCGTTAAGAGCTTGAATGGCCAATGTGTGTCATGTCAAGATGGAGATTATCAGTCACCATGTTTCTTGGAGGACCGGACTCCTGGGAGGGGACTCCTGGGAGGGGACTCCTGGGAGGGGACTCCTGGGAGGGGACTCCTGGGAGCGGACTCCTGGGAGCGGGCTTCTGGGAGGGGACTCCTGGGAGGGGACTCCTGGGAGGGGACTCCTGGGAGGGGACTCCTGGGAGGGGACTCCTGGGAGCGGACTCCTGGGAGCGGACTCCTGGGAGCGGGCTTCTGGGAGGGGACTCCTGGGAGGGGACTCCTGGGAGGGGACTCCTGGGAGGGGACTCCTGGGAGGGGACTCCTGGGAGCGGACTCCTGGGAGGGGACTCCTGGGAGGGGACTCCTGGGAGCGGACTCCTGGGAGCGGGCTCCTGGGAGGGGACTCCTGGGAGGGGACTCCTGGGAGCGGACTCCTGGGAGCGGGCTCCTGGGAGGGGACTCCTGGGAGGGGACTCCTGGGAGGGGACTCCTGGGAGGGGACTCCTGGGAGCGGACTCCTGGGAGGGGACTCCTGGGAGGGGACTCCTGGGAGGGGACTCCTGGGAGGGGACTCCTGGGAGGGAACTCCTGGGAGGGGACTCCTGGGAGCGGACTCCTGGGAGGGGACTCCTGGGAGGGGACTCCTGGGAGCGGACTCCTGGGAAGGGACTCCTGGGAGGGGACTCCTGGGAGCGGGCTCCTGGGAGCGGGCTCCTGGGAGGGGACTCCTGGGAGGGGACTCCTGGGAGGGGACTCCTGGGAGGGGACTCCTGGGAGGGGACTCCTGGGAGCGGACTCCTGGGAGCGGACTCCTGGGAGGGGACTCCTGGGAGGGGACTCCTGGGAGGGGACTCCTGGGAGGGGACTCCTGGGAGGGGACTCCTGGGAGCGGACTCCTGGGAGGGGACTCCTGGGAGGGGACTCCTGGGAGGGGACTCCTGGGAGGGGACTCCTGGGAGGGGACTCCTGGGAGGGGACTCCTGGGAGGGGACTCCTGGGAGGGGACTCCTGGGAGCGGACTCCTGGGAGGGGACTCCTGGGAGGGGACTCCTGGGAGGGGGTCGATGCTCCCATACAATGTTGCTCCGGTTATTGACCTCAGTTGTTGATCAAATGCTTCGTGGTGAAGGATGCAACTGTGTTCTTCCTGTTGGTGTTGTATTGTCCCAGCGGTCACCCCCCCCCCTTGTCTCACCCCATCAACCTTACCCCCTTGTCTCACCCCATCAACCTTACCCCCTTGTCTCACCCCATCAACCTTACCCTCTTGTCTCACCCCATCAACCTTACCCTCTTGTCTCACCCCATCAACCTTACCCTCTTGTCTCACCCCATCAACCTTACCCTCTTGTCTCACCCCATCAACCTTACCCTCTTGTCTCACCCCATCAACCTTACCCTCTTGTCTCACCCCATCAACCTTACCCTATTGTTTCACCCCATCAACCTTGCCCTCTTGTCTCACCCCATCAACCTTACCCTCTTGTCTCACCCCATCAACCTTACCCTCTTGTCTCACCCCATCAACCTTACCCTCTTGTCTCACCCCATCAACCTTACCCTCTTGTCTCACCCCATCAACCTTACCCTATTGTTTCACCCCATCAACCTTGCCCTCTTGTCTCACCCCATCAACCTTACCCTCTTGCCTCACCCCATCAACTTGCCCTTTTTTTTCTCTCCCCTCCCCTCATCAACCCCCACCCCCATCACCCGTCACTCTGGGTCAGCGTGGCCAGGAAGGTAAGGTGAGACGTGACCTGACCTCATGTGACCTCGCTTGGTGAGCCTCTGAGCACCTCGTTAAGGCTTCCGCCTCTTTTACTGGTCACATGAGCAACTGGACTTGGCGGGACTTTTCAGCTGCCGGCCCGCGGGACTTTCACACAATTAAGTCGTTTCAAGTAGTTTTTCCCTTGGCCCTTCGTCTCCGAGGACTCATAAATAATGAATACATGTTAGACTTTGATCCTTATTAGTCATGACCCCTGTTCCCGTGATCACACTCCGCAACGTTATCATTGGCCGGCTGGTCTGTATGCACCAATAGGAGCTGCCCTGTGTGGACCAATAGGAGCTGTTCTGTATGCACCAATAGGAGCTGCCCTGTGTGGACCAATAGGAGCTGTTCTGTATGCACCAATAGGAGCTGCCCTGTGTGGACCAATAGGAGCTGTTCTGTATGCACCAATAGGAGCTGCCCTGTGTGGACCAATAGGAGCTGTTCTGTATGCACCAATAGGAGCTGTTCTGTATGCACCAATAGGAGCTGCCCTGTGTGGACCAATAGGAGCTGTTCTGTATGCACCAATAGGAGCTGTTCTGTGTGCACCAATAGGAGCTGCCCTGTGTGGACCAATAG